TGCGTCATCGCGGCGCGACGAAGGCTGCCGTAATTCGAAAGCGACTTCAAATGCGCCCTCCATTTCCCAGGAAAATGAAGTGCACATCTGATGGACACTTCGCACCCTACCATAGACCTGCCAACCTGTACGCATTTTGCGTAGCGGATACGCATTTTGACCTCAAAGTACGCTGGTACGATTTGTCACTCCAAACTACGCAAAAAACTTGGTGACGCCTCTGTCCACGTGCAGTATTCAAAACAAGCAACAAAAAAAGATGAAGAGTTAAACCAATCAGAGCGTTTTTTTAGGTTTTGCTTTTAAATTTCCATGCGTTTATTTCTCTCCAAGCTGGCTCTGTTTGTGTGTCCGTGAGTCTGCGCGCTGAGATGAGGAAACGCCTGCATCTGAAAAAGCAACACACGCCGAGTATCTTCCCTTGTAATGACTAAACCTTTTGTCCAACAACAAAAAAGAACATTATAACATTCTTTTACTGCACAACATCAGACAAATATTTAAAATAATTTCCCTCTTGATCTGATGTGGCTTCTTATCACAGAATGACGCAGAAATAAATTCTACACTGAACTAAAGCAAAAAATGTGGTAACATTTTTTTTAAACTGAGGTATTTATTGAACCGTGGGCTAACTGTATTGTTGCATCCGTACTGTTTACTCTGAAATACAGTATAATACATTAATATCACAAACTGAGTGCAGACCGTGATTATTAACCTATAAAAAAGATATTTAACATTAAATCTTGCAAACTCCAGAGAGAGACAGAGGAGAGGAGAGCAGGGAGAGAATGGAGGGACTGTTTTCTCTTCTTGAGAGAATGCTTAACAAATACATTATTTATTAGCCATTCTCTATTAGGCAAGAGAAAGCAGTGGACAAAATGGGTACATTCAAATTTGTCAATATACTTTTTTAAATGTCACATTGTCAATGAAACAACCTAATTTCTGTAGTTTTTTTTTGTGTGTGTGTGTGTGTGATGTAAGTTCAAAATGAAATGAATAAGTTGTATGCATTTTTTCATTTTTATAGTGTAATTTATTTGTAAATGAGCCTGAGTACTTTCTGTACATTTTGTATTTTTGTTTTGCATATTCACATGTGTAAATAAAATAAGTAATTATGTACAATGTTAATTTTTTTAATGCAGCTTATAATTTTTTCACAAAACATTCTTCTATATGTTTATTTTTTTGTCTTGTAAATCATTTTTTTACACATTAAAACAAATTGTTCTATACATTACTGAAAGTACTTTTTACAACTATTTACAACATAGCCTAGGTTTAACATCAGAAAAACAAAATCAATTTTAAGCCCAGCCCTTGTTTTCTTTCAATTAGGACTATTTGTTTTTGGAACCGATTTATCATATTACAAGATATAAACTTATCAAAACAAATATATTGGGTAAGAGTATACTAGTTGTGATAGTGCAATTTTTTCATATTTTATTTAATATTAACAAAATTATCCACAAATAATGCTTTTTTCACTCAAAAATAATGAGGCCTACGATAAATCAGTTCCAAATATATATACAAAACCAGTCCTAATTGAAAGAAAACAAGCTGACAAAAAGATTGATACCAATATTTGGAGATAATATAGCATAACAAGAAATGTATAAACAATTTTTTGTGGACCGGTCATTTTTGACCGGGAACACCACAAGTGTAACGTTGAATAAAATAAAAAATTAAATAAATACATTTTTTGCAGTGGAAGTAGCTATGCCCTGTGCGGATAAAATCAGTAAATCTTAGTCAGTACCGCCGCTCCCTATAAACTGAGTACGCAGTTTGCGTACGGCACCAACTCCCAGGGGGGCACCATACCAGTTGTTCCAAAAAACTTTCGTTCTATATTAATATTAAAATTAACATATCCTATACATAAATAAAAATCTAAAGATGAACATATATATATATAATTATTTTTAAAAAGCATTTTACGGTGAACGCAGTAGGCTAAGCACACGTGATGCGCCATTCCCGCATCCGCGACCGCTGGCACCTCATTAAAAACAAACAAAACAAAAAAACGCTCGCACCTCACGTTTGCGGCTGAATGCAAAGGATCATAATTGATGGACAACTATGCGGTGAAAAGACATCAGCGATCCGGCGCAGAGAAAAGAAAAAGAAAAAAAGATGAAGCCCGTGTATCACTTTCAGGTAGCCTACATTCATAATCCTGTGAATCTTTTTTGCCTGTTGACGTTAATAACGTGTTTTAATGTCGGTGATAATTTAACCACCAACAACGCATCTAATATTCTCTCTGACTGTCCATGTTCCCTTACAAAAATTAGCTATGGTTTTACGAATAAAACCAAAAATCATGGTTCTTGTAGCCATGGATGGTAACCACAAATTAAGCATGGTTTTGTTACTTCAAATAATAGTTTACAAAGAAGTATTAAGATAATATTTTTTGTGGTTATAAATTCAGACCTAAGCCAACAACAGCCTTTAAAATTACTTAAAATGCATTATATAAAACAATGAGGCAATAATGATTGGTTAATTAAGTGGTTTCATTGAATAACACTGTTAAAATACATAATGTAATACAAAGTAAACAATTTATGTAGGCTACATTATATATTACAAATGCTTGCAAAGGGAGCAAAAGG